TGTGTGTGTGTGTGCTAGTGTGAGTGTGTGTGTTAGTGTGAGTGTGAGTGCTAGTGTGTGTGTGTGTGTGTGTGTGCTAGTGTGAGTCTGTGTGTGTGTGTGCTAGTGTGAGTGTGTGTGTTAGTGCTAGTGTGAGTGCTAGTGTGTGTGTGTTAGCGTGAGTGTGTGTGTGTGCTAGTGTGAGTGTGTGTGTGTGTGTGTGTGTGTGTTCAGCAGAAGAAAGAAAATCATACAGGTTTGGAACAACATGAGGATGATTAAATGACAGTATTTTAATTTTTGGGGTGAACTGTCCCTTTAAAGAAATACAGCTCCATCAATTCTACGCGTTCTTTATTCTCGACCAGTTTGCAAAATACATTTAATCTTAGGAGTTTCATCTCAATAACTGATATTCAGGTGAATCAATCAATGAGGTTCATCTCCAAATCAAAATAATAACAAACAATACATAGCACAACGAAAATAAAGCCATATTACTATACAAGTACTTTCATATTCATATTTGCACAAAATACCGCAGTGTTGGCTGTAAAACAGTCGTGCTGTGTGTGTATTTGTGTAAATTGTGTAGTGTCTAAACACATGGGCTCAAAGGCTTTGCATTTCTCTCTTTGTGTTTCAACATCCGGGTTTCCCTGCTGCGAAATTCCCAATCCTACTACAGCGAGGCCACGCCTGCTGAATATTAATTAGACCGTGCTGACGCTCCTCGCCAAACTTCAGTCACGCAAGTTATTTAATATTCATGAGCCAGGCCTTCTCCGCAGGGCCGACCAATCAGAGCGCGGGCGTCCTGTTGCGTAGTTAATATTCATGAGCTGAGGCGTCGCCCTAGTAGAACTGGAAAATTGGTTTCCCTGCTGGCTGCGTTTCGCTCTCCGAGGCCATTTTGGACTCAGTTCAGTTCCGTGCATGTCAGAATCGAACCCTGTCCTGCCATTCTCGCTCTTGCACGGGAAAAGCGTCACACACGAACGGGATTTGGGTGGAAATCGCCGGTTCTTTCGCACTGGGAGGCGCTTCTGTGGGAATAGCCGCTTTTCCTGATGGATCTGTGCATGTGTTAAAGTTTGATTAAAGCCCGATCGGTGGGTGGACATCAGGCCGACGGTCACTCGGGCTCTTGTGTGTGTGTGTGTGTGTGTGTGTGTGTGTGCGCGCGCGCGCGCGCTTCCCCGATCGCTTTAAATGTGTGCAAAGCAGAAAACACTGAAAAGGAGAAAACCCGGGGTGTTTTTGTGTCACTAGAGGAATATGTTCGCCTTCTGGCTGACTTTTGCACTTCTTCTGGGAACTTTCAGTGCAGGTAAGCGCTCGTTTATTCGCTTGACAAGACTTGGGTGAGATGTGCATGGTTTTTCTGATGTTCTGCTATATAAACACGCGTGATATAAATAATGCACTTGGCTTTTCATTGAATTGAAACGCCACGTGTTTGCATTAGGAATCACGTTTACACCTGCTTTTGGTGAGTAATTATAAATGCATTTGAAATATTGAAGTGTCTGCGTGAGCCTTTCGCAGATGTAGTGCTCGCATTCATTCATAACTATCCTCAGCCAGCCTTCAGTCCAAGGATTTTTAATTGTTTTGCATTTACGAATCAAGTCATGCATGCTCATATGTGTGTCTAAATCATTTGTGCATCCATATTATATAGTATGCATTCATTTAAGTGATTTGTGCAAATGTCTTTTAGGATTTATTCCTCAGAGCATCACACAACACATGCATAGATGTTGATAAAGTCTTCTGCATGCTGTGAATGTGTGTTTGCTGTGGCTTTGTTGTGTTGGAGGGTTTTGGGGGGAGGGGTGGGTCTATACAGCTCAATATCATGCTGAATTGTGATTAAATAACATTTAGCATCACGGTGCACTTTAATAAACATCTTCAGAGCAAATATGTATCATACGACTGGAGATAGGGACACAATGTTTCAGTTTCAGGACAGAATTCCCATGAATGTTACAATGTTATTATTGCATCTACCCCTTTTTTTTAAATTAAATTCAAAATGAGAAATTCTTTGAAATGTTAAATTACAAATGAACCGCATAAAAAACAACAACAACGTGTATATATAATGTTATTTGATATTTATAAGAACATATAATCTAAAAATGACCAGCATTAGCCCCATTGGAATGATATAACTTCATAGATCATTTTGGCTCCAATGGTTACAACTCTTAAAAAAATAATTGTAAAAAAAGAAGTTATTTTGAGGATCTTAAAACATTTGCAAAGTTTGCTTCTCTTGCTAGAAATGATGCTTTTTTTGTCTCTTCTGGGTCGAAATGGACCTGAATGCATTCTGAGGGATGCATATCTTTAAGTGTCGAGGTTTTGTTCCTCAGATGTCTTGAGGACCGTGTGAAGTCTCTGTTTTGTGAATATAACGAGTCTTTGAGTTCCAGACCAGCGTGTGTTGTGTTGTGGTTGTTGGCTTCCCAACTAGCTTAACCATCAAGCCTCCTTTGGTTTACCAGGTTCATATGAAGGACAACAAATGGTCAGGGTTGTATTTTCCTCCAAAACCTCAAGCACTTTGCTTTAGGCTTCACGGTATTGGGTTGCAAGACCTTTGAACACAACTTTCGAGACGTGCATTTGAAACGTCACATGATGTTTCTGTCAGAAGTCAATAGAGGCTGGTCTTGAAGGATGGTTATTGTCTTTGAAGAAAGGAAGAAAGTGAGACAAGTTGGTGTTTTTCTGAAGGTTTAGTGATGGATATATACGTACATATGTGAATGTTATTAAAAAAATATTTTAAGTGGATACATCTTTCTTTCAGTGACTTTTGAGCAAATGTTATGTAAAATTCAAGCTGTCTTTAAATTCTATTACTTCGTATATAACAAACACCCTGCTTTCTAGATGTTGTTTTGGCCATGATAAAACCCATGTTTGGTCACTAGATAATATATATTATTTAAGTATATTAATATAAATATTTATTCAGTTTTAATTAAATAAAAAAGAATTGTGTGTGTGGATGGGATGGTTTTCATGATCCTGTTATAGTAATGAGAGTGACACTTTTGTTCTTGCATTACAATCGTGAGAATTTTGGTAAACTTTTGTCACAAAAATAAGGTCATAATGCAAACACTCCTAATATCCCTTAATTTTTTTGATGCAAAATATTTCTTCCTTCTGATTTAAAGCTAAAATGTGACTATAGTTATGTGTGTGACACTTTATTTGCATTGCAATCATGTATCCTGTTATAGTAATGAGAGTGACACTTTTGTTCTTGCATTACAATCGTGAGAATTTTGGTAAACTTTTGTCACAAAAATAAGGTCATAATGCAAACACTCCCTTAATTTTTTTGATGCAAAATATTTCTTCCTTCTGATTTAAAGCTAAAATGTGACTATAGTTATGTGTGTGACACTTTATTTGCATTGCAATCATGAGAAATTTGAGAAAAATGTTATTTAATGGGCATGAAAATAAATAGTCACAATGCAAAAAATTCCTTAATTTTCCTCATGCAAAGTATAATTTCTTAATTCTTCCTTCTGATTTCAAGCTAAAGTGTGACTTTTCAAATAATATAATATTTAAAATGACCTTTTTTTTTTTTTTTTTACTTTTTTGCATTACAATCATGAGAGTTTTGGGAAAATTTAGTTTAATTGTCATGAAAACAGCATCACATTGCAAACAATCATTCCGAATCCTTCAATTTCTTAGTTTCTCCTTTTGAGTTGAAGGTGAAATGTGTTTCTGTCATTGGCGACAGGCTTGTTGAATGCTTTTGTGATGCCGCGAGGGCTCATAAATGTGTGTGTGTGTGTGTGTGTGTTGTGTAATAGTCTTCGTGTAGAGCATTCCAAGATTCCCCGGCTGAGTGCACAGTGCCATAAAAAGAAAAGCAGGGCGGTGTGGCGCTTAAACAGCCTTCTATTGGTGGAAACAAATTACCCTAATGGTCCGTTTGCTGCTCGTATCTGTTGGGTTTGTGCTTGTTTGAACAGTGGGGTGTGAGTCGGCTTTCCCCCCACATCCGTGTGTGTGTGTGTGTGTGTGAGATCCATGTTTTTCTGGCTGGTCGGGGGGGCGGACTGGAATTCCTCTCTGGACTGAAATGGCCACCGTAGAGTCCGTCAGCGTTCCGATCAACAGTGCCGGAGATCAGCCAGAGGGAAATACAACCGATTGCATGCTGCGATATGGATGTGAGCTGTGGTGCATGGGTGGGGGGGCTGGTCGAGTGAGAGAGAGAGAGAGAGTTGGGGGGGGGGGGGTTAAAACTAAGTGTTTGGGGTTTTGTTAAACTAGTTTTGGCATTAAAAGTAATGATGCCTGACTTGGCAAATAGCAATAATTGTGTCAGAGGTTTGTAATCAATAATTCGTTTTTTTGGGGGTATGTCAGCATTTTTGTGCGTGTTGAAAATTATATTTGCTTTTGCCGGATGCATTTCTTCATCAGCACTTATGAACTTTGCATTTCAAGGTCTTTAGTGAATGATCTATCCATTTTATTCAGGGCCTGTTGGGAATAAAGAGAAGCCAGCTTGCTGTGTTTCAGGTCTCGTTTTGTATTTATGTTGGGTGGTAATTTTTATATATTTATATGCAACTTTATTGGAGTGCATCTATGTCAATAATATTAATCAAACATTAGAAAGAAAATCAATCACTCTCCTTGAACGAATCACTTTTGTAATAGGGGGCCCTGGAGTCAGTCATAGCCCCGGGGCCCAGTAAGGTCTTAATGCGGCCCTGGATGTAAGGCATAATGTGAAGTGAGATTGTTAATATTTGACTGGTTTGTAGCAGCTTTCAACCATAATATGATATTGTGAGCTCCCATATGTATGTGTGCCGGCTGTTTTTCAGCAGTGCTTGTCTTCTGAAGGTAAAATATTATTTTAAGCATATGTGTGAACACCATACAGTGTGTTAGGACCTCTGCGATCACACTGTTTCCCCCTGAGAGAGCAGATCCGTGAGCAGACGTCTCCTCAGTGTGAGGAGTCATTATTGGGGCTCTGGCTCCGGGGGTTTTTGAGATGGAGATGGGGCAGATGCTTCCTCGGCGCTCCAGATGGAGGAATGTGTGGATAATCCTGACTCCCAGGCTCCTCTCATGACCTCTCCGTCTCCATCTCGACCTCCAGCTGTCGCCAGACATCAGCGGCCCTCAGCTGTTCGATTGAAAGAGTGTAAAAATATCTCACGCTGGAAGAGCAAGCGGAACGCATACTAATATCCAGAGATGGGAAATGGAAGGAATTTCATGATTCTGGTTCAGATTTCATGAATTATTCAGTTTCCCTGATGATTGTTTTAGGGTTTCTGAAGAAGCAACCGCAAGAATTTATCCTAATTACGGTTTCAACAAAAAAAGACATTTTAAATTTTTTCACATTTGTTTTAAATACATTGTTTAAAAAAAAAAAAAATGTTTAAACACTTTTGTTTTTGTTTTGAGTAAAAGTTTAGTTAAACATAATTTAAAGACATTTTTAAACTTTTTTTTTTTTGTTAAATATTTTTACAATTTTTGTTTAAAAAAAAAAAATATATATATTTTTTTTAGTAACAATTACAATAAGGTTGTACATTTTTAAACATTTTTAGTTTTTGTTTTGAGTAAAAGTTTAGTTAAACATAATTTAAAGACATTTTTAAACTTTTTTTTTTTTGTTAAATATTTTTACAATTTTTGTTTAAAAAAAAAAAATATATATATTTTTTTTAGTAACAATTACAATAAGGTTGTACATTTTTAAACATTTTTAGTTTTTGTTTTGAGTAAAAGTTTAGTTAAACATAATTTAAAGACATTTTTAAACTTTTTTTTTTTTGTTAAATATTTTTACAATTTTTGTTTAAAAAAAAAAAATATATATATTTTTTTTAGTAACAATTACAATAAGGTTGTACATTTTTAAACATTTTTAGTTTTTGTTTTGAGTAAAAGTTTAGTTAAACATTTTAAAACTTTTTTTGTTTTTAAAAACACATTTATTTTTAAAATTAATTTTAGTTAAAACATTTTTTTTGTTATTTTTAGTAACAATTACAATAAGGTTGTACATTTTTAAACATTTTAATGTTTTGAAACATTTTTTTTAAAAACGTTTTTTTTTTTTTTTACAAATTAAACACATTTTGGTTTAGAAACATTGTAAATGTTTTAACTTTTTTATATTTTGAAACATTTTTAAACCCATTTTAATGTTTTGCTATCAAAAAGTCAACTTTGATGTTTTTGTTTTGTTTTTAATAACACATTACAAGTTAAACATCTTTTAAACACATTTTTTGTTTATGTTTTTAA